GTGAGTCGTCGTCTTATGTGCTTTCACTCCTAAAGTCATCCCTAATGGGGTGGAAAGCTTATATTTTGTTTCCTAATGAAGCACAGTGCCCGACATCCTCCCAGCACAAGTTGCCTTGTGCTGCTTGGTTCTCTCACACATGAACTGGCCTTGGCCCACCCTGTGTTGGTTTTTTGTTCGAAATGTTGAGTTTTTCCAGGATTTGCGTGTCCCCACCTCAGAGCTCTCACATATTAACTGGCCTTATCCCACTTTTTGTTGGTTKTCTGCTTGAAATRTTGAGTTTATCAAAGACCTGAGTATCCCCAACACAACTTGCCTTGTGCAGCTTGGAGTTCTCACACATCAACTGGCTTTGTCCCACTTTTTGTTGGTTTTCTWCTCTAAATATTGAGTTYATCAAAGACCTGAGTGTCCCCAGCATAGGTTGCCCTGTGCAGCTCGGAGCTCTCACACATTAACTGGTCTCGTCCCGCTTTATGCTGCTTTTTTGCTCTAAATGTTGAGTTTTTCCACTATTTGAGTTGAGATTGAATGGTTGGGTGTTGATGTGTCTAAAATGTGTCTAAAGCCATCCAGTTACTCCCAGCCCATTCCTGGAAGTGTTTGCTGAGCTTGGTGGGAGCCAAATCCTCATCTCGGCTGTGTCTCCCCCTTCCTGGGCCCACCCCAGCAAACATTTCTGCCCTTCTGGGAGAGAACGACCCCATGGCTGAGCTGAACTTCCCCTCCAGGTGGCCCTGGGGCCCTGAGGGGTGCACTGACCCTAAAATGAACAAATATCCTCTGTGCAGGGAAGCTCTCTCACTCTCACAGCTCTTTTCCCTGGCTCTTGGCGGTGATCAGGTTCTTTGGGTGCTTTTTAGGGAATTCTGGTTCTTTAATCTCTTCCATCCGTTGTTGTTCCTGGGACACATGTCTTGGGTTGAGGTAGGGACATTCCMAAGCTCCAGGGCTGTCAGTGCCACCAGAAAAAGGCCCTCTCCATCSTCAGAAAAAGGTGATACTGCCTCCCTCTTCATCCTCAGGAAGGTCAGTTAAAATAATCTCATTTAAGYCTGTGCTTTCCTGCAGCACAAATCACTTTCAGATGAGTGCTCGTGCCCTGATCTGAGCTCGCCACTCTGAAACTCAGCCTTGAGGAGCTCAGGTTGTAGCAGATCATGGATGGACTTGATGGTCTCGGAGATCTTCCCACCCCAAAGGGTTCTGTGGCCTTCTTGCAGCTTTGGCACCTTCGCTTCGGGGTTAGAGCTGCTCCAGTCTTCCCACAGGAACTTTACTCAGGGAGTTTTGTGCAGGCTGTGAACATCTGAGTGCCAAGATACCGTCAATATCTACATTTTTGGGTTTTTTTAAAACTTGTTCTATGTCCCACATCAGCAGGGAGGTCATCATTGTCCTGTGGTGGTCRGGGTGTGCTGTGTGGGCAGTTCAGGCTCCAGGGGCAGAGCACAGCTCAGCTGGAAACTCTTCAAGCTCCGCTCGGTTTGTCTGGTACACACAAGGTGTCCCAGTGGGAGTATTCAGGGTTAGAAATCTTGGTGGTGTRAAATGGATTATTCTGGGTAAAATGGATTGTTCTGGGGTAAATGGATTATTCTGGGTACAGTTTTTTCCTTGGCTTCAAGGAGGTCCTGAAGYTCCCCTGGTCCTTCTTCCAGGAGCCAGCTAAAAGCTCCAGAGCCTGATCCAGGAGAGCCTTGAAGTGTTTTAAGGGGATGAAATGGAGACCTTGATTCTCTCCTGATAGTTGTTTATGGTGTTGGTGGTCAGGGGAGATGGTAGAGCTTCCACCAAAACCCAGCAGGAATCCAAGTTAATGTTCATTATCATTAACTGATGGGATTAATTAATCCATCTGCCCAGAGCAGCTTCAGGGTGTCCTGCTGCAGGGAGATTTTTGGAGCTGGTTTTAAACTCTGGGCAAAATCCAATGGGTCACTCTGGCAGTTTGAAAAGTCCATTTGTTTGTTTTCTAGGGCTTAAATTTACCTGCAGAAAGGATGGATTAGTGATTTGGGAAGGGGGATAATGGAACCAGGCCAGGCACGGCGGTTCTCCTGAAATCCCAGCAAACCGTGCCTGATGGGTTTTGTCAGGAAATGACCTTATGGGGCYGCTAACAGCACCGGGGTTGGGATTATTTTATAATGGCAGAATTAACAAGGATGGGAATGTGCCTGCCAGAACCTTGATTTTTTACCATGTGGTGCCTCGCAGCGAGCTCGGATCCAGCTCCAAATGAGCCACGCTCATTTAAGCTCCAATCCTAATAGGAGCAGCGTGACAAGATCCATGCTCCCGACCCAAAGATGGAGAGAGACTCGTTATTAATGGGTTAAAATTAAAATTCCTTCATGAGTTCCTCCTGCCCCAGCCAGCAGTGAAGGCAGGCTGCTGGTTTTTGGAGCTGAGAGCCGTTTGATGTTCCAGCGCTGGGCTGAGTCCGTCTCCAGCTCCGGGAAGTGCCGAGTGGGGCCGATGATTCCCGTTGGGAAGGACGCGTGTCGCCCACTGAGCGCGCAGCCTTTCCAGAATGTTCCTGCACAGAGGGGGACGGAGCAGGGCTGGGAGYGGGAGCCTGGCTGGGAACATGGCCTGGGTGTGGCCCTGTGTTCCATGGCAGTGCAGCCACAGAATTTGTGGGATTGTGATTTCGAGGGAATAGGAGCGGTTCCAAACAATCGGTGCAAGTTTTTATTGTCAGAAGCTGCCCCAGATAAGYGAAAGGATTAGAAACAGAAATCAGACCTACAAACCCCTGAGTGCCAGGAGTGGCTGAGGGAGCTGGAAAGGGGCTCAGCCTGGAGCAAAGGAGTCTCTGGGGGGACCTTGTGGCTCTGCACAACTCCCTGACAGGAGGGGGCAACCAGGGGGTCGGGCTCTGCTCCCTGGGAACAGGGACAGGAGGAGAGGGAACGGWCTCAGGAAAATCAGAGCTCTGTTCATGGTTAGTTTTGCATCCCTTGCAGTGGGTTGAGAAGTTACATCATTTTCAAGGCTCTTCCAAACTTTGGTTACTTATTTCCCTGTTATCTTGCTGTCGAAGYGTATTGTGTAGGAAATCACTGTTAGGAATCATTTTAGGTTGGAAGATACCTCTAAAATTGTCAAATCCAACCATTCCATTGCTTCTTCAGCTGTATTCCAGCTGCAGAATTCCCAAAACCTTCCAAAAAAGTAATTTTTCCTGATCTCTGGCCAGCTCAGCATTCAGGGGGTGGTTGCACCTTGGGTACAAGGACCCCAAGAGCCCATCCCAGGAACTTCGTGATTTTCACCATTTCAGCTTCCCATCCTTTTGATCCCATGGGATTTGGCTTTAGAGGTGTCTGCTCTGTGTCTGGAGAAGGGTGGATCGCCAGAAAGCTGGGAGCAGCATCCAGCAGAGTCCTTTTAATATTCYTGAAGCTCTTAAAGGCTGTTTTATTTAACCTTTACATGGTTGGAGTGYCCCTTCTAGGAAAGTGATTCCTGGCAGCCCCTGGAGCACTTTGGTCACCAGCTCTGGGGTGAAACAGCAGCTCTGGTTTCCAACCTGAAACCTGAAAATGCAAAAATTCATTTTGCTTTCAAAGGTGCTGAGTTTTGTCTCACTGCAGCAGTGACTGAAGCGTCGCTTTTGGTTTATTTGTTTTTAATTGTATGGAATTAGGGAGGAGAAAAGCTYCATTTTTACCCCTCGGTTTTAAATTATTGTTTTATTCCAATTCCACCTGAAGCTTGRGGAGGGAAGGGGTCCAAGAGCAAATCCTGATTTGTACAAATAGGAGGCAGCATTGCAAAACCTGCCTATTTTAACAACTCAGGCAGAAATTGGGAGGAAAAATTAATTAGTTGTCCTCATGAATCCTTACCCTGATCGCTTCATGAGTAAGGAGAGAGAAGCTTTCCATGAGTTTCTTGAGCGTTTCTGCAGAGTGCCCCCACAGAGATATCGGTCTCACAAGACTGCAGTTTAATCTAGCTCAAGGACTTTCCAAACTCCACAAATCAAAGACCTCTTTTTTTCCTCTTTTTTTTTTTTTTTTTTTTGTGCCTTACTCCAGAAACATTTCAGAGCATTTCTTGCTGCTGGTGGGGTGTTCACACTGAGCTCTGAAGCCTTGCGGTGTCAAAATGTTTTCACATTTTCCCGTGGAAAAAAAATTAAACTTGCACGTAATTTTTTTTTTTTTTTTTTTTTTTTTTTTTTTTTTTTTTTTTTTTTTTACTGGAATAGCCTCAAAAATTCCCAGGATGTTCAGCTTGATCAAATGACACAAGGGGTGTTTCCTCTTGAGCCCTGAATTCCTGAACCTTACAAATCCGTGCTTTGTTTCACTCTCGCTGTAAATGCAGTAAAAAACTCCAAAAGGCTCGGAATGAGACAAGATTTTTTTTGGGCTTTTTTTTTTTACTTTAGGAATTTCTCTTTAGGATTGCTGCTATTGATTTAAATGTGTGAAACCTGAAAATTTCTGGAGTTTTGGAATAGGTTTTATATTTCCATAGGTTATACACRTGTGTGTGTGTGTCCCCAAACCTGCCGTAATTTGTCCCGGGCATAAGCTGGTTTCAGGTTTAGTTTTATGGGGACAGAAACTGTGACCTTACCCRTGTCTGAGATTCAGAGACTTGTGGAGGAACAAGGTAAAACCACAGGTAGGAATTGCTGAATAATTACCTTTAGACCAACCTGAGCACGAACCTTCCCAGGAGGACAAGCTCATTTAATGGTTCCTAAAACTCAATCTTGTGGATGTCAATGGTCATGCTTGATTATTTGCAGCGGTGTTTTTTATGGAAAAGCAATAAAAATGCGTGGGGAGGCTGCAGAGGAGGGAAAGGAACAGCGATTGGGGGAGTTTTTGCTGGGTCCCCTCGGTGCCCGTGGGTTTCGCGCTGCTGCCTCCGACGTGCGACTGTGTGTGCCTGCCCAGCGCCGCCGCGCTCTGCTGCCTGATGGGYGGCAGGAGACCGGCCAGAGAGGCAGAAATTCGGGGTTTGTTGGAGAG